TGGGCTTTCCTTTGTATGTGATCTTATTTCTCTCTCTCCGGCTGCTTTTAATTGTCCTTATCCTTGATGTTTGCCATTTTAATTACTATGTGTCTTGGTGTTGTCTTCCTTGGGTCCCTTGTGTTGGGAGATCTGTAGATCCCAATGTCCTGAGAGACTATCTCCTTCCCCAGATTGGGGAAGTTTTCAGCAACTACCTCCTCAAAGACACTTTCTATCCCTTTCTCTCTTCTTGTTGTTCTGGTACCCCTATAATGCGAATATTGTTCCATTTGGTTTGCTCACACAGTTCTCTCAATGTTCTTTCATTCTTAGAGATTCTTTTTTCTTTCTGTGCCTCAGGTTCTTTGTATTCTCTTCTCTAGTTTCTTTTTCATTTATCGTCTCCTCCACCGTATCCAATCTGCTTTTAATACCTTTCATTGTGCTCTTCAACGATTGGATATCTGACCGGAATTAATTCCCGAGTTCTTGAATATCTTTCTGTACCTCCATTAGCATGTTAATGTTTTTTATTTTGAACTCCCTTTCAGGAAGATTTATGAGGTCTATGTTATCTTTCTCAGGGGTTATATTAATTTTACTCTGAACAGGTTCCTTTGGCATTTCTTATTTGTATATGGTGCCCTCTAATGTCCAGAAGCTCTACTTTCTGGAGCTGCTCAGCCCCTGAAGCAATGTCAGTGGTTGCAGGGGAGTGGTATTGTGGTATTGGTGCCTGTGGGGAGGAAAGAGCTGTTTCCTGCTTCCCGGATGGTATGCCTGTCCCCACTGCCTGAACCAGTGGGCGGAGCACACAGGTATAGCCTCTATGCTTTGCATTTGTAGTTGCTGTAGATAGAGCTTCCCTCTGGCTGGCCTAACGCCAGGGTAGGGTTTGCCGGTTTGCCACCCAGATGGGGCTGGCCGGGAGAAAGCGCAGTAGGCTGCCTATCACAGAGGGCGTTCTTGGAGCTGTGTAGTCAGCCAGGGAGCTGGAGTACATGGAAATTGTGAAAGCTCCCAGCCTTCTGGGCAGAGTGCACCCAGACAATTTTGTCTACCTGTCCTTTCTCCTGAGCAGTAAGCTCTGTGCAATCCTTGCCCCTTTAGCAGCCTTCTTCTTAGGGCTTCCTTGTTAGGAAGTCTCTCAGACTGCCCAGCTTTCTTTTGTCCCAGAGCAGCTGGATATGGATCCCTGCTTTCCACCAGTGGCTGGAATCTCAGTCTCTCCAGGAATTCTGCCTGTCTTAGTTTTCCAATCCCCTAGTTATGAGAGTATCATGAAAGCACCTTGAAATGTAGGTTTGTGCTCCCAGATTAGATCTCTGGAGCTAGGTATTCAGCAGTCCCTGGCTTCCACTCCCTCCCTGCTCCATTTCTCTTCCTCCAGCCAGTGAGCTGGGGTGGGGTAGGGGCTCAGGTCCCGCTGGGCCTCAGCTTTGGTACGTTATCCTGTTCGGTGAGGTCTGCTCTTTTCTCCAGGTGTATGCATTTTGGTGCAGTCCTTTCCTGTTGCTTTGTCAGGATCAGTTGTATTAATTATATTTTCGTCTTAAATGTGCTTTTAGGAGAAGCCTCTGTCTCACCTCTCACGCCGCCATCTTTAATCCTGATGATACACTTCTATTCCCGGCCCATGTCTCCTTCTGTTTTCAGCCCTGTCACGGCCTGGTTAGTTCCCAAGAGGCAACTTGTGAGAGGCTGGCAGATGCTTGTGGTGATCTGAGCCCGCAGGGGCTGTCCACCCTGTCACACAGCTGTCTTCTTTCATCTTAGGCCACTGGATGGGTCCACCTGCCTCTCCGAGATACACACCTGGGCTCCACTGCAGGTGCTCCACGGCGACATTGACGTCCTCTTTCCAGTCAGCGCAGTGGGCTCCTATGACCCTGCAGGTGGGTGTTTCCTGCTTACTCTTTTCCTCCCATATGAGCTTTGGCTCCAAGAGCCTCAGGAGTGTCTGGGTTACCTGTTCAGGTAGGAGTGGGAGCACAGAGGCTGGTTGAGATTAGAGATGACAGAGGATCTGGCTTCTCTTCCTGCTGAACCTGGATGTTGTTAGGTGCTCTTGTGAGTGAGTGCTGGGCTGGATTGGCTGGTAAGTCACCCAGGAAGCCCAATCCTATTTTTTTTTCTCTCCAGTGATTTGTTGGGCTTGGTCATTCATGTACAAGATGACTGCAAATGATGACCATTGTTTTTCCTTCTTAGGAGAAGGGAGGTCACAGAACCCGTAGCTGTGAAGGTCTTGGCACTCTCTGCAGCATAGGTCTAGGGGATCAGGGCTTAGCTTGCTTGAAACCTGCCTTTGGATTGGGTAAGCATTTCTTTCCCATTCCATGGGATTGAGTATGCTTTATGTGGTTCCTTACTGTTTTCTTTAGCTAGAGAAGGTCACAGGGGCAGCGAGGTTTGGGGTGGGGAGTGGTGGTGAGGATGTGGATGAGCCCGGCTCGCCCACAGGGGTGCGTGTGAGCATAGCCTGTATGGTGCCTGTCACTGTGGACTGGGACGTCACACTGCACAGCACACTGTCACACAGCACCACCGGCTGAGTGAGGCCTTGGTGCTGATACCTCTGTATGTGGGCACCCTGCTCATCTTCCCAGGGCCAGCTTTAGGAAGCTGTCGGTGATGGGGGCCCACCAACTGCTCAGGAAGATGTTGACATTCTGAACCGGATGATGGACTATTGTTCTTGCTGCCGTGGGGGGAACAGAAACCCACTCAACCCAGCTCAAGTGCAGGGGCAGGGTGGGGACAAGGAGAGGCAGCAGTCTGCAGTGGGGGTCAGGTCAGCACCCTCTCTGGCAGTTGCAGGAGCTAGGCTGGGAGACCTCTGAGAGCAGTGAGTATTCCTGGTGGAAACTGAGGCTGATGGGAGAGGTGGCTGAGTGGCATTATCTAACAGGCTTGCCTCTTTTGGAAGGTACAGTCAGTGGTGAGAGTGACAGCCAACACTCATCAAACCCTTGAAGTAGGTCTAGGGCTGTAAGGTGGCCCACATGCACACACCCACCCTGACCACAGCCCATGGGGCAGTGGTGGTTATCACTGTGTCCCCTTCCTCCCAGATTTGTGGTCACTGTTCCCCAGGTTAATGTGGGAAGAGATGAGGCACAGCACAACATGACAGGGTATCTTGTGGGCCTTGGGAACTTGGAGTGGAGGGGCTCCTCACCTGGCCAGGTCATTCTGCACCCCCACACTCCCTCACGAGGCTGCCTGTACTCGGCTGAGGTGCAGACCATCACCGCAGCCATGGCCTTCCATGGCAGCCAGCAGGTGCTGGGTTTCAGCTGACTCTCCCAGAGGCACCATCTGGTGGGCCCTGCTCGGGTCTACAGGCCCCTCCTTCTACTCAGGTGGCGTCCTTGGTGCAGATGGCCGAGGACGGGGATGGTTATCTCCCCCCTTCAGTGGCAGTGTGCAAGCCGTGGGATGTCTGAGAAGGGGGTGGGGCTGCAGACAGCACGTGGTCCTGAGGTGTGTTTAGGGCCCCTGACGTTCCCAGAGTTTATTCACAGCTTCCAGCTGATCACTTTGTGTCACCACCCCCCCATCCGAGGGGGCTTTTTTCTTCAGCTGTTCTGTTTCAAGTGGCTCCTTCATTTCTTAACTGGGTTCTTCCAAACTAGTAGACCCTGGGGGCTGCTGGCTGGCTGCTCCTGGGATGTGGCTATTTGTGGTTCACATTGGGGTTAGCCTTACAGAACCCAGCACTGTCTCTCCCTCGCTGGGCTCCACTGTCACCAGGGAAAGTGGCTTCTGACGGGCCTCCAGGATCATTGCAGGAAGGCGCCCCTGGCAGATTCCCAGGGTCCCATCTGTCTGTCAGCCTCACAGACCCAGAAGCCTTATCTTGTCACTGCTGATGGGACTCTCAGTCCCAGCTTATCTTGGTTGTGTGCACCAGAGTTGGTGTGTGTGAGCTGGTCTGCCAGCTTTTTAATTTGCTACAGTAACAAAGCTGCCAGGTGTTTTGGAAGCCTGTGTCAGCCTGAGGGGCCAACCCGCCTAGGTAGGAACATCAGACAGGAAAGTAAAGTGTTCTAGGGTCACATGAAGACACTGGAATCCGAGTGAGGGGAATCCGTTACCTGATTGGAGTGCTGTGTTGGGTTGATTCCCTTCTGGCCTGGTGCTCCGTCTCCAGGGGAGGCACGTGTGCCAGGTGGCACTGGGCTGGCCTGCCTGCCCTGAGCCCTGACAGCACTCCCCTCCCAGACGCCTTTTCTTTCACTCCGTTTCTGACCAGGGTCCCTTTGGTTGATGCCCTCCTCCTAGAGCAGCACTAGCCTGTTCTCCCCTATCCTGGCCTGGGAGCCATCGTGTGTCTCTACTGATGACTGCACACATAGGGCTCATCCCTTAGGAGGTGCTCCCGTCATCTTGGAAGACGTTGGTGCCTCTACTACCACCGTCTGTGTGGGTTTTTGGAGAAAGGCCGAGAGAGGAGGATAAAGAGGGAGGGGAGCACCTGGTGGGGAAGGATAGATGGCTTGGGTAGCTAGGTCTTGGCAGAGAGAAAGCAGCAGAGAAGGGGTGTCTGAATCTTAGAGGAGGGGGCTCTGCAGTTTAGTGGTCTGTACTTCAGAGCTACATTTTTAGGGCTCGGGGGCCTCACAGAAGGGAGACCCCATTACAGCATCACACAAGACCTGACAGGCGGGTTGGAGGAAGGGATACATCAGTTCCTCTGGGTCTGCATTTACTCACAATGAAGCCACACATGTTTACTAGCATCGTTTTGAAGGTGCAAGGGAGGGCAGTCCCCCAGAGTTTTCTTTGAGCTGAGAATAACAGGAGGAGGTGAACAAGCACCCATTTCTACCTACTGCATGTGTGACTGTTCCTGCTTGCCTCTCAGTGGAGGGGCCCGTGCTTAGTGTTGGGTTAGTAAATGCACAGTCAGTTTCTGAAGGCTAGCTTTGGTTCATCTGTGACCTTGACCCTCTTCTCTTCCCAGCGGGTCTATCATTCGGGGGCTTCTCCTCATCCTGCGGTGGGTCTCTGCAGATTCCCAGGGTCCCATCTGTCTGTCAGCTGGCTGAGGCCGAGAAGGTACTGCTATAGTGCTGCTCTCTTCTGAAGTGACTGATCCCTCCCCCAGGGTAGTTTTACTGTTTGGATTCTTAGATTCTGTGGTGGTTGCAGGGCGTTCATTGTGTTCCTGCCCCACTGATGTGGCTCACGGGCCGCTAGGGCGCACAGTTTTCTTTACTCCATCTGTGCGATCCTGTTATGCACTAGCACCATGCCAGCTCTGGGGACCCAAAGGTGAATCCCTCCTGGAGTTTTGCATGTAAGGAGGGGAAGAACCATCCATAGCTCTATGCTTCAACCCTGCAGCTCTCCTGTCCCTTCTTCTTTTAGCAAGCAGAGTGATTTTTTAAGAACATGAATCAGAGTGCATCATTACCCTGCATAAACTATTCCACCACACTTGGGATAAAACCCGGAACCCTCACTGTGCCCACCCCTGCCCCAGACCACCCCACAGCCTCACCTCTTCCCATTTCTCTTTTGCTTGGTGTCCCCAGCCACACTAGCCTGCATGCAGCTCCTGGAACCGAGTCTGCAGCCCCCTCTCCTGCATCTACACCCTCTGCCCATCCTTCAGGTCATGGCCCAAGGGTCACTGTCTTACAGAAGGCTTTTCTGGCTCCTCAAAGGCAGGCCAGGCCTTGTTGTCAGTCATAAACCTTGTGTATTTCCATGTTTCCACTGCTCTGACCTTAGTTTGTAATTGTATATTTGTATAATTACTTGCTAATGCCTTTTCCCACTGCTAGTCTTGGAGGTCCATGAAGACAGGACCATGTCTGTTTTGATTCCAGTGTGACCCTGATCCTAGCCAGTGTCAGGCCCACAGTGGTGGCTCAGGAAGCCTTTGCTGGGTGGGTGAGTGGGTGAGGAAATTGATGCAGTAGGTGGGGATGGGGGCATGCAGGGAGTGGACATCTGGCAGTTGGAAAAGTGATGTTCAGTTGGAGATACAATGTGGACAAACGAATGGAGGTGGGAATTCCCCGGGCATGTAGATAGAAAAACACATATCTCAGATCAGCTGAATGAAACTATGATAAGGGCTCAGCTCTGCCATGGAGCAGAGAGGGGTTCAAACCCTCACATATTGGCGCTGTGGTCTTGGACAAGTCACTTGAACCCACGAGGCCCTACTGCACATCTGTAAGGTTAAGATAACAGTTGCACCCACCTCAGAGGGGGCCCTGAGGATGAGTGAGGCGGTCTGTCTCTGCGACTGCACTGTGGCCCCAGTGCCTCAGGCCTGCTTCAGCTGTCCTGGGCCGTGGTTGTGCATTATCAAGGGTGTCCCACTTATGCTGAGTGGGTGTAGTGTCCGTGGTGCTGGAGGGTGGTGGCCTTTATGCAGCCATGGGTTTCCATTGTGTGTGTTGCGTCCCCATCTTTGCTTCAGAAAGCAGAATCAGGCAGCCTTGTGTTAGATTAGAGAGGGTGAGATGGAACTGGGGGGACCTCTGCACTAGACCCCAAGAACGCACTGAGCCTTCAACTAGGGTAGCCGTGGAAATGGCTTGTGAGCCAGGGTGGGAGATAAGTGGGTGGAACTGGGAGGTCGTGGATACCACATGGCTCTGTGATGCCCAGCGGGGTGGTGCGGGCACTCTTCTGAGGTTGCAGCTCGGGAGTGGTGACAGAACGGTTTTGTAGGTCATGGTCAGTTGGGAGGCCCCAGAGGGTACTCCAGGGGAGCTTTCTGCCAGACAGAGATATGGGAGTAGGATTAAGGCTGAGGCCCTAGGCTGCGGTGAGGGCTTGAGAGGCATTAGCCGCACAGAGGTGAGCACTGGAGCCAAGCCCTGGGTTTGCCAAGGGGGCAGAGGCCATGGGGCTGTGACTCAGGGGTGCCTTCATAATGGAATCAGAGAAAAAGATGGTGGGGCAGAAGCGAAGAGTATGTTACAAAGGCCAGGAGAGGAGCACCAGGAGAGGGGCTTGCTTGGCCTGTCGTCTGCCACCCTGGGGAGAGTCCTTTGCAACTATTTAAAAGAGGCAGGAGTGAGTCGATGGAATAGCTTAATGGAGGCAGCCGGGTAGAAGAAAAGGTGAGAAACATTTCCTCGTAGCGTTCCCTTAGTTCACCCTTGTAAGAGCTGGGGAGTCTTGAGCAGGACGAAACCAGGCATTAAACAGGAGTGAGGAAGGGGGCCGTGAGGGCTGGCCGAGGAGCACGCGGCGAGTCTTCCGGTTCTGCGTTCCCTGTCTGCGATGCAGGCCTTGTTCTGTAGTGGGCATTGGCAAGCCAGAAGCTTCTCCAGTGAGTCTGTGTTCTGGGTGACAGTGGCTTTCATGTCCCCGTCCAGCCTAAGAGGCATGAATTTGCACTTTTTCATGTGAAGAGATGTGAACAGCAGCTAATATATTTATGGAAGTCTTCAGTGCCTTTTCCCTGTTGTTTCTAGAGATTATTTATGGCCTCACTTACAAATCTTTTCTCACTTATGAATCCTTTCTCACTTAATGGCACGTAATGCAGGGTAAGTGGCTTTTAGAAAGCAGCAGTCCCTCAGTTTGGACGTGAGCCGACTGTCAGTAGCTAGACCATGCTTGCCCCCTTGTGTCCATATCAAGCCACTACAGCAGTAGTTTGTCCAACAGCTGATTTATTATTTCCTGACTCTGAGGTTTGTGCTAAATATGAACTTCATGCATAAATTCAGGTGGATCAAGATAAAAACAAATGTTAAGTGGGATTATGGGCCCTCCTCTCAGTGACTGATGCCAAATCTGAGATTATGGCTGAAAAAATGCAACAGGTAGCAGATTAAAACCCAGTGTGCAGATGTGGAAACATTTGTAAATCAGCTGCTTTAGCAGATAAGCCAATGTGTTTACTGTGTCCTTGTCTCATGGAGAAAAATGAGATGAAAACAGAAACTTGACTTTTTCTCTGCAATTACTCTCTGTGCACAGATACCCGCCTTGGAAGCCTGGAGAACGGGACAGAGCTGGAGGACCACGTTCTCCCAGAGACAGGCTCTCGGTACACGTTAGTATTCAGAAACCAAGTTGCCTTTGAAATTGAATTGTCCTATTCACAGTTCTGCATTTTATTCTCTCTTAAGGATAGGGGAGCACCTGCTGAGATTAAAAGTCAAGGCTTTCCTTCATGTTCATGTTTGGGGTAGTCTTACATCATATAATGTACAAAGTTGCCAAGGGTCTCAGAGCTTGAGAAGCAGTGTTGGTCACACTTGACTTGCCTACCACCTTTACTTCTTACACTTTTGGGCCATATCTGGGTATCTCCTCTATAATTATTTGCTTGATTTTAATATGTGATAATATTGAACAATTTTAATATTGTACACTGTGTAAGCCACTTAGATACCATGTATTTGTGAAGTGCTTGGTCTGGCATACAGCAGCAAGCACTCTGGGTTGTTTCTTTTTTCAAAATAAAAGTATCTCAAAGGGAAACCGAGTTGCCCCAAGTCATTGTGTATTAGGTGGCAGGGCTGAGATGGACACTTAGGTCTCCCTGATGCCAACATGATCCCTGTTGCTCTTATAGATTTCTCTTCCTTTCTCTTTATGGTTTTAATTTGGTATCCCAGGGATACATCACATTTGCATTTTTAATGAGCCCCAGGGTGGGAGTCCTTTTTGCTGTTTACTTTAGAACATTTGGAAAATGCAAGAGTAAATGAAAAAATATTCTCAACCCCCAGCTCCATTGATGGTCTGGTCCTTTTCTTCCTAGTTGTGTGTGTGTGTATGAACCATATTATGGCCCTGCTATTTTCATGAAAGATGTTAAGTATTATTTTTCCATGTTGGAATTTCTTTGTAAATATACAGTCAATCTTCATTGTTTGCGGCAGTCACCGTGAAGACTGAATCGTCGCTCTTAGGAGAAATACAGGGTTAGTCCCTGTAAACATCTGGTCACATTTTGGTCAACTGATTAACGCATAACTTTGTTTTATGCCCATTCCTGTTTAAAGACATCTTATTTAACATGTATTGTTGATTCACTGACATTGAACTCATGGCCAACAGCACTGTAACTTAGGCTTTGAGTAAAGGTTACCTAACATACACATTTTCCACATAATGAATATCACAGTCTTCTTGTGCTTAGGAACACCGGACAGCACCTGACTCTATGCTGGGGGGCCATTTCCAACAGCAGAATCACTAACAGAAAGCACAAGGATGGCACTAAGTAGCCCACCCAAAGGACATGTTCCCTGTGTGATTGTTAAAGAAGGCAGAACTCATCTTGTTTGATGTCAGGTGGGAGCATGAACTTCAGTGACTCAGGTTTTTTGCCACACAGCATATGTTCATGAATGACCAGGGAAGTGCTGTGAGTCTTGATCTTGGGTTACAAATAAACTTTATTGAGTAGGTGAATTTGCAAATATGGGCTCTGCAAATAATGAGGACTGACTAACTTCAAAGGGCAGCCCCTGTTCCATGTAGTAGTGTACCTGAGTAAACTTAGCACCTGTAACTTTTTGAATGGTGAGTTGGGGTTTTAAGTTGCTGAGTGTAACTTCCTTCTGCCTGCCTTTTCCCAGCGTGGAAGCCAGTCCTCCAGACCAAGGAAGCCCTCTGAGCAGCCTGTTGCCTTCTTCCTCGGTGCCAGAGTCAATGACAATTAGTAAGTACTTTTTGAGCCGTCTCTGCCAACACCGGGGTGACTCTTGGGCCTGCACGTCATGCCGGTGCCTTTGTGCTTGCTCCCACACGACTGTGAACTTTACAGAGAGAAGTCGTGTGTGTGTGTATCTGGTCATGACCTTGAAGTGTGGTGCTTTGTTGTAAGCTTCGTGAGCTGTGGTTAACATGTGGTGCTTGGGCCCGTGCCTGCACTAAACGACACAGTGCAGAGGTGGAGCAGCCTTGAGATAGACCAGGAGCTTGTGTGGTTCAAGGTTTTGGGGTTTGCCTCCTGTAAGGCTGTCGGCTACAGAATAACTGTTCTATGTGGGTTTCCTTAGTAGCTCTGGAGGAACCATTTTTCTAAGTCACGGTTTGTTTCCCAAAGATGAATGAAGGTTGCTAAGGATCAGGTTCAAGCTGTTTGCAACCTCACCACTCAGGAAAAGTATTAGAGATATGGCAATTAAGATCAGGTTTGAGTGACTTTATATAAGCAAGAATAAACCTACCATGGCCTAATGAGATAGAAACTCATCTCTCTGTTCAGAGGTAGGCAGGCTGGGGCTGGTATGTGGCTCTGTGATCATCAGAGACCAGGACTCCTCCTTCCTTGCCTCATAGTCCAAAGTGTGGCTATTTCAGCTCCAGCCATCCCATTCTCATCCCAGGTATCAGGAAGGGGGAGGGGGAAAAAGGAGAGACTTCCTCCATTTCCATAGGTAGGATTCAGGGGTCTGAATTTGCATGGAGAAAGAAATTACAACTTTTTTCTTTAGCCTCTGCCTGAACTTTAGCATTATCTTCAATGATAAAAGTAACAGCAAACCCTAGAGACCATAGTGGTGTTAGCAGGGGTCCTATCACTGACGGAAGTCACAGGTACCTGTCACAGCTATGACATGAAAAGAATCTCAAAGTCATTTCTGCTCAAAGATAGAGTGGCTTTTTAATGTGATGATAAAGAATCCCATATATTACTATGTCACTTTTGTTTTTTACATTTTGATAATTCTGTTTCAGTATAATCAGTTTCCTTTGTAATCTTACATGTTTTATTTTCTGTATTTTAAAATATTTTTCCAAGAAGGGGCCCATGGGCTTCACCAGACTGTAGAATGGATCCATGGCATAGAAGAGGTGAATTTGGAGACTGCCCTCAGTCCCCAAAGCTGTAAGGACCCTTCCTAGAGGGTGCACACAGCATCCCACTATGTGGCCAATACCAGTCCTGTGGCCTCCCCTGACTGCTAAGGAGGCAGTGTACCCCCTAAAATTGGGGTTTTCATTGCTAAGGAAGGAAGAGTAGAGTTTGGGAGACAACCAGTGTCCTGTGATTCAAGGATGAATGAGGAAACGAGTGGGCACTGTAAGGCTGGCATGGTGGGAATGACTGGCCTCACTTTGTACAACAGGAGTATGTAGCTGAGTATGGTGCTTCCCACCTGTGAATTCAGCTGTGTGGATATTTATAGGTCATCCACTTTGGGGGACTCATGGGCTCAGAGAACCCGGAGGATGCTGGTTTTCAAATTTCAGTTATTTATCACTATACTATTACTATAATTTTAAAAAATGCTGCACTTAAAAACATCTAAATTCCTTTATTTAAAAAGGGAACTTTATATGATTACTGTAAATGGACAGCCACTGTTAGTGGACATAAATAGCAGGTAACTGTGAGAGAAAGACAATGAAAAGGAAACAGTGTTATTAAGTTGGTCTGGATATTGTTGCCTATTATTAAGTGGGCCTGGATATTGTTTGTTGCCTGTAAGTCGGCCTGGATATTGTTGCCCATCACAGCTTCTGACTGAGACCTGCTCCCACTGTTAGAAAAAAGAGAGGGGGGTAAGTGAAGAAGCCTTGGGAAAGTGTTGAGGGTATTCTGGTGCTGAACTCCCAGTTTTTCCTGGAAGGAAACAGGATTGGAGAAGCGATGAGGAACTAGTTTCTGAGTTCCGGTTGGATGCCTTGCCTCCCGGCTTCTGCCGTGCCTTCTCTCTGTGTGGGCTACACCTTCATGCAGAATGATGAGATTTGCTTTTAGGTGTATTTACCCTTAAGAACACTGGTGCAAATTTTGCCTTATTTACATTTATTTAATAAAGAACAAAGACTCCGAGCCTGTGGCCATGAATACCATGCTTTGCAGGCCCCCGCCTGCATCCATGGGTGCCCTTGTACGTTTTGGGTATCTTCATTTCCCCCTCCGGCAGGTAGCAGCATTGTGCTTCCATGCGGGTTTCCTGCCCCCCAGGATGAGGTCCCCATCTCAGGTAAACCTGGTTTGCTTTGTCTGCTGCCCTGTGGGGTCCGCAGGGATCATGGCCTGGCTGTGTCCCTCCACTGTTTCCTGACACTGGGGAAGTTACTGGCTCTGTTTGGGCATTTCCACTAAGGACATCCCTCTGAACAGCCTCAAGTTAGGCTGGTGGCAGGCATTGGTTTTCTTGGCTGTACTCATACACTTTCCCAGAAAATGTAAATCCAGTTTTATGACTTGGTGTCTTTGGCAAGCGGGGGTATATCCAGAGCTTACACCTGGAACCTCTGAGGAAATGGGTCGCTATGTGCACATTGTGACCCTGGCTGCTTTGCAGTAACATGGTTTGTGGGGGCGGGGGGTTGTGTGCAGGGTGGGGGTGGCTGTAAATTTCAGGGAGACTTTGGGACAGCACTGTGGTCCACCTGTTGGTGTCCTAGGTGAGAGATCAGGATTCGTAGACACTTTGGAGGGTAGTTTTGACTTGTGTCTACCCTCATCCTGCACCATCTCCTGTGTCATCACAGAAAAATGAGAAGAACAAGTCTGCCTGGGTATCCAGGGTGCATTTGTTTGCTGGGGCCACCGTAACAAAACACCGCAGACTTGGTGACTTAAGCAACAGAAACTTAGTTCTCACCATTGTGGGGGCTGAAAGTTCAAGGTCAAGGTGCTGGCAGGGCTGGTTTCTGATGAGGCCTCCCTGCTGGGCTGCAGACCGTCTTTCTCCCTGCTCACACATCCTTGTTCTTAAACAGACATCAGTTTTATTGGATTAGAGCCCCACCTTTAGGACCTCCTTTAACCTCAATTACCTCCTTAAAGGCCCTGTCTTCAAATGTAGTCATATTGGGGGTCAGGGCTTCAACATGGGAACTTGGGGGGACACACACACTTCAGTTCATAACATGGGGCATCCCAGGCATGGTGTCCCAACACCTACCCAGCTTCTGATTGAGAATTGCTTCTCAGCAGGTGAAGCACACCAAGGGAGATAGATGCTCAACCCTCAGAAACCCCGAAAGAGTCCAACAAGAGACTCCCGAGTCTGTGCTCCCCAGGGATCCCTGGCGGCTTCCTGGCTCATTTCACACTTGGTATAGGTGGCTGCCCTGGCACTGTAGTCGAGCTAGAGCAGTGCATTAAATCCCTGGTGTTCGGGGTAACTGACAAGTCCTCTGTCAAGCAGCTTTCCCCTCTTGGAGAGTCTCTGACATGGCAAAGGGATTTGTCCTGGCCTTTTGGGCATATGTGCTTGTCCTTGTCTAGTGCCCAAGAGAAGGTGGTGCAGCCAAACCCATGTTACTGCCCTCTCTTTCCACAAGGCCCTTTGGTGCTGGAGAAAACACAAAAGCCTATTATGAAAAATTGATTCATTTAGTGAAGTAGTAAAGACAGTTTCCAACAGCCCAAACACCCATACTTCTGTCTGTGTAGGTAGGTTTGTAATTTGTGTTTGGGTGTGCAGAGCTGTATGTGGCCGTCACTGGATCACGTCTGTTGCTTTGGGGGGCAGTCTGCCCACCCAGCCTGGAGGGCACGCTTCTAAGCCGTTACAGCTGGTGGCCTCAAGCCTCTGTGGGCCTGTTTCCTTCTCTGAGCATGTGATGAACCCCATCTCGTATGGTGGGTGTGAAGATGAACTGTGATGTGCTTGGCAAAGTTTTCAGATCAGAGTGAAGAGTCGATAAATATTAGCTGTTATCAACATACCTACTTGTGTTCTGCTCTTTTAATACTATTTCATGGTCCTTCTTTTCTTCTCCATCTCCCCAGGCCTCCTGTGGAATGATGGCGTACTCTCCCATCGCTCGGGTTATTACAATTTACTAGATTTTTTTTTTTGTAGAGGGTGATGGGGGCATCAGAAAGGTTTTGTGTTTCTGCAGTGAGTTTCTTCATTCTTTGTGAGCAACAAATGAGAAGTGCTGGGCCTGCCAGAGTGCATTCTAAGGATATTGGCCATGATTACTGTTTACAGTTCCTTTGTGGTAACATTCCTCATTGTGGAGCTGGGGGACAAGGTTAGGGCCATCCCTAAGGGCTTGTTGGGAGCAGCCATTTCTGGGCTGAGTCAGTGTGTTGCCAGGAGTCTGACCCCTACAGTTTCTTTGCACGCCACAGCGTTAGTGAATGCATTTTCCTACGTTGAGAGCTGGAAGATGGCACTTGTGGCTGGGTGGCTGTGCCTTCCTGGGAGGTTGTGGGCCCTCTCCATGCTGTTTGACATGCCCCCATCCCAGCCCGTGAGGTGCTTGCTCATAGCCTCTGTTCTGGGCTCTTTTGCCCTCTCTCCGGTGTTCTGCTTGATTTAGAGAGGGAATGCGCACAGGTGGGATGGGACCAAGGCAGTGGCTCTTTGCTGCTCCTGGGGCTGTGTGGCTCAGGGAGGAGGCCAAAAGGGGGGCTGACAGCACCCTCATCTTTGTAGGGGTCACCCAGATTCTCTTGCCTGCCCTTTCATTTCCTTGGTCATGAGAGCTGGTGGAAAATAGTTCTCTGTTTCATGTGCCTGTCTGTTTTGCCACCTATAATCCTAGGGGCGGCTGAGTCTTCTGTCCCCCTGAGCTCACCCGGCCAGGTGGGGTGGGGGCTTCTGCCTTTTCCAGCTCTTCTCTGAGGGCTCTTACCACTAGTTCCTGACAAGCCCTGAAATGAAACTTCTGGAACTCAACTGGTGTATTTAGAAACAACAGGTCTGAGGAGGGTAGCACTGGATTTATTGCTGGGAAGGA